ACTAGTTGCGAAACGTCAAAATTTGACCCATAAGAGAAGGCAAATGCCCTCCTACGTACCATCTTCTGTGGTTACCACAAGGTCCACTTACTTACACATTCCTGCTGGAGTGTAATTTACCTACGTGAAGAGAGCGCTTAAACATTGGGCGCGAGCAGGAGGATTAGTACCTTGCCTGAGAATGGAAATAGTCATTAACAAGATACTTCGTCGAGATGAATGCTGAGAGCACGTTGGAACTGCTATTGCGTTATGATGTGAGTGGACATTATTGGGGAAAGCCAGAGCAATGAAGCCGACTGGCAAAGAAGATTTAGTCGTTGCTCCGATGGGAACAGGTTGGCGCGATTGGTAGAAGAGATGCACCGCGAACAATAAACGTCTCTCATGTGGGACTCCTGGATTGCTTATTACGAACGACAACTGAGTATGCCCTTTATCGTTACCACAAGGACGCCAAAATGGCTTCTCGTTCTGCTGCTCAGGGTGGTGTGATTGAGGACATGCCATCCGAAGAAGACCAAATAGTAAGAAACGGGTGGAAGCTTGATGCCAATGAGGATTTTGTCGGCACGATATCTCGTGTACGCCTCGTTATTAGCGCTTCTTCTTTCTCCAGGTCTTGTCACAGTGAGCACGAACCCATTACGCGTATTGTTTTCCTTCTCCACTTGGTGTCGGCACTTCTGGTCCTGTTTGTAGTGGTCCCGATGCTAGCCGTGCTGTGGCCAGTAGACATTTGGTTGACCGCGCATATTCACTCTCAGGTTGAGAGTGGGATAGAGTAGATGATTAATTAAGGGTCGGACGTGTCAATATATATATGTATAATTAGCTTAGCTTGTCTTTAGAATGATTCTACATACGATCCAACCGTGCTAGTCAGGGGATTTGTATGTGCGTGATGTTGACGTGTGCCTTATCCAAGTACATACATAGTTTCGACCGTGCAAACGCACAGCTCTCTCTTGCCAACGGCAGTCCAGCAGAAGGCATCGACATCGCCAGCCATAGTCGTCTGAAATGTGCACCTCAATCAGTCATTCGAATCACACACTCACCGACCTTCTAAAAGTAGTTTGAGAGGCAGGCTTACTGAATCTACTGTGCTTTTGCTTCGAATATTTTTGCGTTGGCAAACACACTTCACTGAATACAAGTAAAAGTGCTAATGCCGCCATACCCTGAAATTAGACTGCGTCCGGACAATGACATCAGCACTGCCCTCCCTCTGTCATCAATCTCGTTGTCTTTCATAATGCCATCACATCTTTCTTCCATTGTCGCAACAGATTATGACAGGAGTCTGTCGCCCTCAATGCCTTTCCAGTCGGAAGCAAAGACGAAGAGGACGCAAAACGTCTGTTTAAAGTGAACAGAACGTGCCAAGCGAATGTGCCAAGAATCAAAACTCGAATCATCTGACAGGAAATCGGATGCGCTATCATTGCGCCACACACCAACTGTCAGTCCGTCTCACCCGTTTTCTCCCACATCCTGGCCTCTTCTTTGACAGTCCAAAAGCGGCACTGGGTCGCCTCCACCACATAACATCCTTAACAACATTGCCTTAGTGCGGAGAGGTGTGTGAGAGGGCGCAGAGAGGAATTCGCGTTTGCAGAGCGGACTTCCGGCACCAGAAAGGCTCACTTGAGGTCGAAGTCTCATCGCTCTCTGCTGTTTCACTCTGCCACCACCAGGCAAACAACATGAAGCAGCCTCTTCAGCATTCTCATCTTACTCTCTTGTAAGGCTCTGCTTATGCATGGTCAGCATCTAGAACAATACCTTACGAGGTGGCGAAGCAGTCTTAACTTCATGGCTTAGTGAACATCGGTGCCTCCGCATACGCATCAGTGATCGCGCTTTACAATATCTTACCCTCACCAGTTCGGCACGATGCATAAACCGCCTATGTGAGGCTGTGGACCGAATTTTACCACCAGAACCGGTGGTAACACAACCGCCACGTCGCCCACTCCAATTTTGTAAGCTAGTGCGTACCTACGCGGTTTGAGAACATTCGATACCAGCTAACTGAGTTGGTTTCCAGCAATATTGTCACGATCCCGTCGGCAAATCACTGGCATTTAGCAGGTTGTCAGAACACAGGTATCGAATCCTAAAATAACTCCGACGCAATGAGCAGTGCATTTGGTGGTAGCGTGGTGAAACATAACCCAGAGGATCGCGAATGGAAGTATGCTCGGCTACCCTTGTGCTCATTTAGTCGCATGGTCACACTCTCCTATGTTCAGCATCCCATCTTCGCACTGTCTATTCATGTTTTCCACGTCTCGCTGTTGGTGGCTCAGTAATACGCATTGACGATCGGTTGACATGCGATCGTCTTCAGACGCCGGTTGAGTTTTTATCCACAGTGGGGAGTTGCGCATATAACTGTCCTGCATTATGTTTGCCACTGCAACCCACCTCCTCTGTACCCAACCTCATCAGTCACAATAATACATGCAATCAGAAGTCCGGGCACGTGACTTACCTTGACAATTAAAGAACATGGCCATAATACTTCTCTGTGAAGTATTACG